GCTGGGGTGTCACAGTGGCGTGTTTGTACACAACGGGCCTCTACGCATCGAGCTTGGGCCTACTGGATTATTGCTCATGCTCGACGAGCCGATGCGCGGCGAGCTGGGGCCTACCGTTGGTGCCCGGCTGTTAGGTAGGCCTAACGTCAAAGGGATTGCCTAAGTCGCGAAAGCCTGTCAAAGTGGTTAAGCGCTGACACGTGACTTACGGCGAAGACCTTCCTTTCCGGTACAAGTCCTTACTTACCCTTTAGAGTCAGTATCAGCTGATCCCGGAGATCACTCGGGCGAGGGATCGACTTGTCTAGACTCGGCAAGGGCAACCGAACTAAAGCCGATCGGTTCGGTCTAAGAACAATGAGTATACGGGGTACTCGACCGAGGACATTGGAAAGGCTATTGTTCTCTTGTAGAATATTCTAGTACGTTTGGAATGTATTTAAACACTGTGGTAGTGACCAGACGAATAACACTCTCTTGAACTTCAATCTATCGGTGTGAGCCACTCGATCGTCCATAGCTCCGCGCTGGACATACTAAGGTCGATCGTACTTATAGCCGTGCGCTAAGTCGATCTACCTTGACCCCTTCATTAGTATAGCCTCGCGCTACTCTGAAGGGTTCGGTAAGAGTAAGCTTCATCGATCTACGGTTAGAGTCGGGTTCGTGTTTAGTGGCATCCTCAACTATTGTTGTAACGCTCTATTCACTAAAGTCGTAACCGACTTACTTTGCTCAACCAAGTTTCTTAGCTTCATTAAGAACGTAGGCACTACTGTGCCACTCCGGACTTAGTGCGTGAACTTGTTGAGCGAAATCGATTCTCGATCGACTAAACCTCATAAGTCGATCACTCAAATCGTTGTGTTAATCCTCTTCACAACGAGATAATCCTCAATTCATTTCTTAACTAAGGCGACTACGATTACGTAACTACCGACGGTTGTTACTAAGTAAGTACTCGGTAAGTTAGCAATCCCAGTCCATAACATTGGTGGACGTTGGGGGGTCCACTTTTATCAAACGAACATTCCGACTAACCTTTTTGCAAGCTCAAGATGGCTAACGCTAACGCTACTCCCGCAGGAAGCTCAGGCTTCGAGAATGTTGGAAATTCCGATGCATCGAAGCCAGACTCTGGTTCTCAATCGCCTGAGAAAGGCAAAGGGAAACAGAGACTCGACGAAGAACTATTCGCCGATCCGATTGTTTCGGGTCAACCGATCGACTTCTCCTCTTTGCCGGTCCACGAATTAATCGGTGGGCTTCCCCTCACCGAATTCGTTCCTTTTGCTGAAAAGATGAACTCTATTCACGCGCCGCTGACCGCCTCACCTTTATCCTACATGGAATCGCTCGATCTGGACATTGCGAAGAGGATTAAGGCTCGATCGATCGGTTTCTCTTACCTTCAGAGAGACTTGTACTCCCTACCAGCTCAGATTTCTATGGAAGGCTTCAAGCGAAAGGAAACTAGAGCTTGGAAAGAAATCTTTGATAAGCTGGATAGCTTCATTACGCTTCCTAGTGTTCTGTACAACGAGGACGGGCACGTCGTAGCTATCCGACCTGATGAGCACACTTACCTGTGGCTCAAACGAAAGCTCAGCAGTTACTTTTACAATGCTGCCGGACTTCTGAATGGTCAACTGTACGAAGTCCCGAACGTTCCCGTATTCGACAAAGACGGGCTCGATCCTAGTGTAGCATACACTCCGCATGACTACCAAATTCTCTGTGCATGCTACCGGGACGAGGTGGAGACCGTGCTAAAGTACTTCACTAGGATCGCAAAGATTTTCCCGTCTGGAGTCGAGGAGGAGGAAGAGGAAGCCCCTAAGCCTCCTGAACGACCTAAGGGAGCTGGTTCGTCGATTTCGCAAGCAGGAGGTGGTAAGAAAAGAGATCTACCGCCACACATTTCTAAATCGACTCGTCGCGACGAGCACAGTCGTGAAGCGGAGGAACGACGACCAGCTCGACCGACTCGACGGATGATCGACCCGATCACCAGAGTTCCAGGATTGCGATCACAGGCTCTCCCAAATCATGGCGACCGACGCCGGACTGGTCGCAGGTACACGGAATTATTCGGTCGCGAACCGTCTCCTCCACCCTCTGACCCTTCAGATGATTCTTCGGACGACGAAGACGATCATCGCTCTCCTTCTCCCCCACGCCGACCTCATCACTCCCACCACCATGGAGGAGGCAGTGGCCGAGGCGGAGGAGGAGGTGGCCGAGGTAGACGACCGCGCCGAGGACACGGCGATCCAGACGACTCTGGTCCTGACGGAAACGATGACGGTCCGGAAACTCCAAGACGACCTCGCCGTAAACGCGATACTCGATCGTCGGGCGAGGAGGATACGGCGAACCTTCCAAGGTTCGATCTCAAGTTGAAGATCGACATCGTTCCAACTTGGGATGGTAACATCGACACGCTCGCGCGATGGATCATGAAAGTAAACCAGATCGCTAAGGAGTCAAGACTCATTGCAAAGCAACTCGGAGCAGTTGTTCCGCGTCGATTAAGAGCAGGAGCCGAAAACTGGTACTACTCCTTGCCGGAGTTCCAGCGTGACAGCCTCCAGAAGAACTGGTCTCTGTTGAAGGAAGCGATCGGTCATCACTACATGAACAAGACCTGGCTCGATAAGCAGAAATCTAAGGCTAATCGCGCCAAGTATCGCGACTCTACGGCTCCAAGGGAGACTCCCTCCGATTACTATATTCGCAAACTTGAACTCCTCGAGTTCGTTTACGATTACTCGGATTCAGAACTTATTGGTGAGATTTTGGAAGGCTCTCCGATCGCCTGGAGTACCATTCTTCAGCCTCACTTGTACCAATCGGTCGTCGACCTTCAGAACGCTATCAGGTACTATGAGGATACGCTACTGAGGTTGGCATCCGATCGAGACGCTAGGGTCCGAGCGGTCGACGCTGAAGTTTACGCGGTCGACTCTCGGTCCAAGACTTCCGACTCGCGCTGATGCGACCGAAAGAACCACAAAGGCCACACACAACACACCCGACGAAGGGCGAGCAACGATATGCGAGACCTAGTGGCTAGGAGGGTGTACCGAGATGGTACGATGGTCGATAGTGGAAGGAGCGAGGTCGGCAAGGCTTCGCACAGGCCCGATCTGCTTCTACGACAAGGCAGCGGACGCTTCGAGACGAGTAGACCACGGTCACGAACCGAGCGAATCGATGACTTGACGACGAGACGAGGGACTAGACGAGGCAAGCGATGGCAGGACGAGATGTAGAGACACCACTCGGGGCGTTGACGAACTCTGACGGACTGACGATCGTACTGACTGACTTCTTGCGTACGGACTGACTGCTGACGGACGTACGACGAACGGACAAGTTGAGAGGGTAAGGGTATCTGGTATTCGAGGGGGCTCGCCCCGCAGTATATACAGGATAGAACAACGCCTACACAAACAGGAAAACACGTGCATATAAATGATCCGAGTCGAACGATACGAGCGCTGTCCAATCGTAGAGGCCAGCACACCGGCTATCGACTTGCCCGGCGAGCACACACAGAATGCGCCAGCATGGCGTAAGACTTCGGGCCCTGTTGAACGTGATTAGCCCCGGGCAACCGCCCGAACGGTACTTGGCTAGCCGTAGCACCGCGACCATACGACCGAGGCTGTCTTGCAGATTCTTCCCCAACACCACCATGCCCAACGTACGCGTCGAACCGACCGCGGAAGCTCACATCGCCCGCTACTACCGCTTGATCGAAGTCATCAAGGGTGAGGCCGCCGTAGAGCCACGTCTCCTGCCCGTATCTCGGGGCGAATGGCTGTCGTGGGCCAACTGCGTTCGTTGGATGCTCGTAGGTCTTCTGTCGCCTTCGTCGGCCAGGGATAGATCCTCACCGGCTTTTTCCAGCGCGGTCTCTTCGAGTCCTACTGCAAGGCGGTCACCGATGACCCGAACTCCGTCCCATCGCCGTACTCCTTCAACGACGTCGTCGAGGTCATGAACTACATCGACGAGATCTTCCAGCGCTACAAGCTGCCTCACGACTCGTTGGGCGCACCCTATCCGACCATCGCCTGGTCCGAGGAGTCCGTCCTGCATCGCGAGGCTATTGACGAGCCTCTGGCTCCGGTCGCGTACCAACTCGACCCACTGTATGTGCCGGAGTATCGCCGCTTGCCCGACAACTTCAATCACTTGGCTAACGCCGTCCACCGCCTGAGCGAGGACCAGCAGGAGATTCGTAGGGTTCTCGGGTCGCTCTCTACGAGCGTCGCCGAACTGGGGGGGCGCGAGCGAGGCATTAACGTCGGCGAGCCTGTTCGAGACGCAGCCGGTCGTAGGGGAGGTTTCCGAGGTCGTGGTCGTAACACTGGACCCTTCGGTGGACGGGACTTCCGCTAGAGTCTTCTTCGTGTAGTCGTAGCGTGCTGGCCAATGTCGAGCAATGTCTAAGTCGGTGAACTGCGCGCGTGAGCTCGATACCCCACGAATCGGGGTGTAGTCCAGATGGGAGCGTATCATCTCCCCCTGACTGAAATCTGGGCCGTCCTCGGTCCATGTTCGAGTTGCACGAACTTCGTCCGACGTCTGCGCAGTGGCCTCGGCCAGGCTCGATCACGCCGCGATGGTAACGTATTTGCGCTGACGCCGTTCCGTCCGATCCCGCGATGCCCCATTTGCCTCCGCGGCGGTCCTTCTAGCAGTCCGGCACAGCCGCGCGAGTCCTCAACGAATCAGAATAAAGGGCTGACACGGCCTGATGGCGAAGGAATTGATGATTGGCCAGCAGTCGCGCCGAGCCGAACCGGGCTCGACAGTTGTGATGGAAGCGTCGATGGTGATGTCCCCGTGTGCTTCCTAGCCCAGACCGGTAGGTGGACCCACAAGCCCTGGCAGGATATATACCTGGCACCGCTGACAGCACCGTCCTTGCCGCTCTTTCCTCCTTCGTGCTCGACCCTGGCGCTCTCCATCCTCGATACTGCCTCGTCATGTCCGTACCCGCCGACTCCCGCGCTCCGTCGACAGCCGCCACCGAGGACCCGCTAGTGGTCTTGAAGACTTTCCTCCAAAATCGCGAAGTTCCCACTGCGGCGGCCGAGGTCGTCGCCTTCCTCGAGGATTGCTTCGACGCCTGGGTAAGCCCCTCGCCTCGATCGTATTCCCCGCTATTCGCTAACTTGCTTGTGCAGACTCGGTACCGGCGCCGTGCGCGTGGCGTCCCGCTCGATGAGACGGTAGCGCGCGCTTTGCGCGACTCTGTGCGCGTCGCCGTCACCACGTCCCCAGCAGATGCCCGCGACGCCATGGCCCTCGTCCCCGACTTCGAAGCCCTCGACGCCGCTTTGAAGGACCACGATCAACAAGAGGAACTCCGCCTGGCCCGCGAACGTGCGGAGGCGCTTCGTGTGCAGGAAGAGCGCGAGCGCGCCGCGAAGGCGGACGAAGACCGCGCCCTCGCCGAACGGGAGCTCGAGCTTGCTCGGGAGGCCCGCGCGCGTGCCGCTGCCAATGCCGACGATGACACCTCGGTTGGTGCTGGACCCGGACCCGCCCCCTCGAAGGACAAGGGGAAGAAACGCAAAGCCGATGAACAGTCCGAGGCCGACGTCGACTCGACCGTTCGAGTCGACCTGTCACACCTTCAGGGCGTCCAGCGTGCTCGTGCTGAGCGCGCGTACGCCTTCTGGCGCGCGGACCCGGTGGTGAGTCCAGCAGCACCTGCCTTCGAATTACTAAACCCTTTCGTGCCTCCTTCCAGTGCGATCGATGTGCGAACGGTTTCTCCGAAGTCCGCGAGTGCGTCTTCGTCGAGCCGCACGACCTCAAGTGCGACCTGTGCCACTCCCAGCAACAGGGGTGCTACTTCGGTGGCTCGACGTTCAACGGGCAGCACAAGCTGTTGCGTAGCGGTCGTAAGTGCCTCCCTTATGCTCGTTGGTTTCGTTAGCTGACTCAGGTGTGTAGGGGCCCGAAAGGAGAAGGAGGAGCCGCTCGAGGTTGCGCTCGCCCGTCCGAGCAAACGCGCCCGCCTTGAGGATGGTAACCTCGGCGGCGGAAGCCTCGCGAGCTTCCAGGGCCGCGTGCGCGAGCTATTCGGGGACTTCAGGTCCGTCCCGGAAGCGGCGCGGACCCAGGCGGTCGCCCTCGGCAACCAAGCCCGTGTCCGCCAGGCTTTCGAGGTGGCCGCCGCTCGCGCCGAAGCCTTGACGACTCAGATGGAGGTACTGTCGATCGAGCTGTCGTGCATCGAAGCCGTGCGCGACCAGTTGGACTCTTTCGCCAACGAAGGCTTCGAGGCTCGACAGGCTGAGTTGGGTGCATCGAAAGCGGGCCCGTCACGTACTTAAGGACTTCGTAGTACCTGTTCGCCGGTCTTGTAACGTTCTTCGTGGCTCGTTCGTGCTTGTGTTAAGAATGAATCGGCGTTCGAATCACTGTCCTACGCGCTGTCTCGAGTCCGGTCCACTCGTCGTAGTGGGAGCCAGCCCGGTCCGACATCAAGAATCTGATAGAATAACAGATGAAAATAAGGGAGCAGGGTATATAAGGGCTCAGTTGGGGAGGGTTGGGCTTAGGCGTCGTCTTCGCCCGAGTCCTCGTCTTCGTCCGTGCCCGAACTTTCGCCCTCCTCTTCGTCGTCTCCCAAGGTCGTGGTAGCCTCCATCTCTTCTAGTCGCGTGACCGGGATGTCAAGCTGGTCGAGCCTGATAGGTATCGAACGTCTCGCGAGGTAGGGTATCACTCGGAAGGCTGCTATGGGACGGTCGAGCACCGTTCCATCGAGCTCAGCAATGATGTACGCGCCTCCGCGGTTCCTCGAGATTACGACCATGGGTCCTTGATAGCGAGGGCGCATCTTGCGGTTCAGTGCCTTCTCGATCGCGGTGTTCCTGACCAGCACTAGGTCGCCTCTTCCAAAGTCGAAGTCCGCAATCGTGTATCGGTGTTCCCGTTCGAAACGTTGTGCAGCTTCGCGACGTGCCTCGTAGACCTTCGAGTAAATTCGCTCTAGTTGCTCTGGTCGCTTCTGCAGTGCGATGGCTCTTCTCGCGATGAGCTCGGTGGTGTCGATGACTGCGTCGGGTGGCGGGACCAAGTAGGTAGCTTCGATAACGTCCAGAGGTAGGATAGGGTGAGTCCCAGTAGCAGCAAAGTACGGCGAGCAACCAAGTCGGCGCCTTGTCGTGATACGTTCGGACCATAAGACAGAATGGAAGACTTGCGACCACTTTGACTGATCTCCGTCTGCTGCCTTGAATAGCGCTTGTCTCATGTCGAAGTGCGAGCGCTCGACGATGCCATTCGCGCGCGAGTTGTACCCGCTGATTCGGATGTGGTTAATGTGATACTTCTTCGAGAGGTACTCGAGCGCCTTGACCCATGGCGCCCCGTTGTCCGTGACGACTTCGACGAGCATGCCCCAGCGACATAGCAGGTCCTGGTACATCCAATCGCCTAGTGACTGGGCCGTCTCGCGCCGGAGCATTCGTCCTTCTGCGTACGCTATGGCCGAGCATCGGGCCGACGCTATGAGCTTGAAACCTCCTGATAGAGGCATGAACATCGTGTCGCCGAACGCTTTCACGAAGATTCCCGCTGGTAAAGGTACCGTCGGTGGGATGAGGATCTGCCGTAGCTGACGCTTCTGGCATAGATCGCAGGTGCGAACGTACCACGCTACGTCCGACTTGTGGTCGGGCCACCAGAAACGCTCTGTGACTGCGACTATCGTTGCGTGGATACCTCGGTGTCCCATACGGTCGTGGCTTTCCCGTAGCGCTCGAATCCTTCGTTCCTGCGGTAGTACGACCTTGTGCGCCCCTTGGGAGTCTCGTCGCCATAGCTTTCCTGCCGTAAGGAAGAAGAGGACGGCGTACTTGTAGAATGCTTCGAACGCGCGGTCTGCCATTCCTTCCGGTCTCGCGGGCTGATCGAGAAACTTCCTGACGTCGATGAGTCGTTCGTCGAGCTTCTTTGCCTTGTCTGAACGAGGTACTATCGAGTAGTCGTCGCCATCCTCCCCCTGACTGAGATTCTGACCGTCCTCGGTCAGTGCCAGGACCGCGATCGGCTCCTCGTCCTGAAAGATGTCTGGAGGGTGGGATTGGGTGGGACGGAGAGGTTGGACCATGTGCACGAACGAGTACATGTTGTCGATCCAGTCGTCGAACCCGTCGTCTTCGTCGACCGCCGCATCTCCAGGCTGCGGTGTCCTTCGTGAGAGTCCATCGGGTCCGTGCGACGAGCCCGGAACGTGTACGAGCGTAAAATGGAAAGTCAGGATGGAGACGATCCAGCGGTTAATGCTGGCACTGGGCGCAATGTCTGGGTTGGCCAACATTCCCTTGATGTAGCGAGCGTCGACTTCTATGACCAGATTGCGGACGCCTATGAGGTAGAGCCGTAGCGCGCGCAGCGAGCGGAACAGGCCGTAGATTTCGAGCTTGGGTTGGGAGAACCTGCGCTCGCGATCGTTGAGCGTGATGGAACCGAATCGACTGTAAAAGCGCTTTCGTGGGTCCTCTTCGTCGCACTGGCACAGAAGATATCCGACGGCGATATATGACGTGTCGACCGCCAGGATCACCGGCGACGTGGTGTCGTACTTGATCGAGCGTAGAGCGGGACTTTCCAGCAGGGCCTGCTTGAGGTCGTCCTGGGCTTGCTGCTGCGCCGGGCCCCACTCGAAGGGCACGTCTTTCCTGGTGAGTCGTACCAATGCATCGGCACGATGCGCGAAGTTGCGAATGAAGATTCGGCACACGCCCATAGTTCCTAGAAAGGCTCGCACGTCGGATAAGGTATGGCAAGGCCCCCAGTTCCGTATCGTAGCCACCCGGGTTTCGTCGGGTAATCGTCCCTCGGGCGTGCAGCGGTGACCGATGACCATGGTTTCGCGAGCCGCGAGGACGCTCTTGACGCCCGAGAATGTTCCTCCAGCGTAGCGCATGCGGGTCACGATACGATTCAGGTTCTGGAAGTGCTCCCACACGAAGCGTCGGATGCCTGGGTTCTGCGGGATGACCTCGCCGCCATAGTCGGTTGCTGGGCCTTTCGCGGGTACGTCGTCGATGTACGGTATCGTGTACTCGGGAGTCTCCGGTTGCAAGATGTAGGTAACGTCGTCGTGGAATATAGGAACCGCGTTCGTCCAACCCATGGGAAGCGTCGTGAGCCTCATCGCACCGTAAGGGGTCTGGAACGTCGTGAGATCGCGTGAGCTTTCGGAGATGTACCGTTCGTCGTATCCGACATAGAGGTCGAGCATTCCGCCGCACGCCCGTCCTCCGAATTGTTCGGCCAGGTATTCTGGTGTGGGTGGAACCCCTGAATGTTGGATCGTGACTGCGTTAAGTGGCTCGAGACTGTGGACGAGTCGCAGAGACTTCCCATCCTTCTTGACCACACAGAACCATCGCGAACGGTAGGACGAGTTCGAGGGTTCGTACACTCCGGAGTCGATCTTTCGTCGGATGAGTGCGCAGACTTCGTTGTAGAGTCCTGGGGGGATCGGTATGTTCTTCTGGACCCAGGGCGTGTGAGGAATGACCGGAAAGTCGATTGGCGGGAAGTATTCGGCCTTGAAATTACCACGCTCGTCGTCGGACCACGCGAACGCGTCGTTATTCGTAGCCATAAAATGATGAAGGAGGTCCCGCTCCGCGGGTTGTAGAAGTCCATCGTCGTGCAACTTATCGGTGGTCGCTGCCCGCTCGGCGGTATAGCGGCCTCTTGTCTCGGACGGCGGTGGATTCGGGTTGAGCTCGCGCATCGTCGAGAGCGGGTCTCCCTTGATGTCGCGTATGATGCGGAATTCGGCAGGCAACGAGCCCAGAACTGGTCTAGTCTTGCGTGCGACTGGCTTGTACTTCTTCTTTGATTTTGCTTGCGCGAACGTTGCGACGTCGGCGTCATCCTCTGTCGAAGAAGTACTACTGTGGGTATCGCCAGCGCGGGTATGAGAGAGAGGAACAGTAGAAGGAACGTGGGAAGCATAGGTGGTATTCGTCGATGACTGGCTGGCTTCTGTACTGGTTCGGACACTGTCGAAAATAAAGTTGGAATAGGTGTCGGGTACTGAGAGGTATGTGGCCGCTAGGACCGGGTTATCAAGCGAGGAGATATTGGCATAGGCGGAAATGGAAGGGGTATCGTTCTCGAAGTCGATCACTAACGCGACCTGTTCATCCTCTTCGGCTTGAACTAGATGTTCGAAAGTGTCGACGATCTCTTCTGAAAAACCTCTTGGAATCGGGGGCGTCCTCGAGGCATTGTCGGAATGGTGACCTGCTCGTTGGTGTTGGGACACACAAGCGTGATCGTCTGGTTCTCGTTGAAGTAGTTCTTGACCACGCTCTCCGTGATGACGTCGAACGGACGACCCAAGAGTACGTCGTACGATGCTCTGCGGATGACGTGGATCTGGAGGTACAGTGTGATCGGTCCAACTTGGCAGGGTACGTTGTGGACTAGGCCCAGCGAGCGGTCGACTCCACCGTTCGCAGACTGCATGCTGAGGCAGATCGTGGGGTCGAATGCGAGACCGAGGTGGTAGCAGAGAGCTTCCGACATACAGATGACCTGTGAACCAGGGTCGAGGATGCACGCGACCTTCTCCTTCCGGTCGATGAGCAAGTCAACGGTACGCAGTGCGTGCGACTCAGCCGCGACAACTAGTTCGCTAGGCGGAACCCCCTTGGGCAGTACACGAAGATACGTTTCGTACGTGTCAGGGATGATCGTGGCGTTCGGGTCCAGCTCGTTATCGTGACAGTCGAGCTCCTGTTCGCTGCCGCTCGCGCTACTTTCAACAGAGGCCATGTTCGTCGACACCGTGTTGGCATCGTGCGCTACTCGGCGAGGGGTAACCGCTTCGCGATACTTGTTTCGGATGTCGGGCGAGATGCTGAGGAGCTCTTCAATAGTCAAGCTGACAGTTGGAGTGGTCATAGACCGCTTGTAAACGGTTTCCGCGATCTGGGCTTGAACTACCGGGGCGAGGTTCGTGTACGAGCCATCGCGATTCTTAACCTTGGTCGGTGCGGCACCGAAGTTACGGGTAGTTGGTGGCACGTAGGTCGCGTCTTTCACGTTCGCGAACGGGTGAATCGGCGCAGACTTGTCGGCTGTCGCAGCATTGCTAGGCGGTGACGTGGTCGGGGTAGTGCTCGAGCCCGCTGGCGCGTCCTTCGCAGTGGCTGTAGGTGGCGCGTGGCTCGCGGAGCGTGCAGTGGACTGTTCGACCGAGGGCGTAGTACTCCTGCTCGTAGGCGGCGTCTCCGGGGGGGTTTCGAATCTGACCGTTCGTTCGCTTGACGGTGCCCGAGCCGGGGACTTGCCCTTGTCC